TGCGGTTTTAAGAATCATAAAAACAGTGAAATAGCATGCTAGCCACACAATTCGCTAATATTTTAAGAAAATGATAAGCTTTGGGAACGAGTCTTCATCTCATAGTGGTTTGTTTCCATTGAAAACTGCATACAAAAAAAGAGGGGAATTGCTGTGCGCGATCGCGAGTAAGAAGAATTTTATTAACTTGCATTCAGCTGCTTTTGATACAGTTTTTGGCCTTAATTTGGTCCATGCCTAAAAGTTTCGCATTTTTCCAAAAACCGCTCGATAATTTTTTTTATAAATTCGACCATCCTGAGATGAATCGTCAAGAAATATTCCCTGCAAGTTTCAAGAACATTGAAAACAGGGAAGGCTTTTAAATAGGGCCTCAAATATAACCAATTTCCCCCCAGATTTTGTGTTTACAAGTGAGCGTCGATCCTCATTATTCACTGGCATTGTTTTCAAGTTTCATATGTACGTGCACAACTAGCAAAGATATAAATTTGCATCAAAAAGAACTCTCGATTACTTAGCTTTCCGAAGAAATATCCGGAATATGCTAATAATTGGCTTGTCGTCACAGATAGCAGTGAGAGCCGAAACGGTGAACCTCACGGCTCATCGTGTAGGATGGAATACTTAATTATCTTACTCGGGTTATGACATCACAGAAACTCTCACAAAGAGTTGCTCTGATGTTATAATGTATCACTAATCTCTTTATCAGGTAATTAGCATATCCCGGAGATTTAAACGAGAGTCCTTTTTGATGCAAATTCTATCTTTTTGCTAAATCTGCACGTGTATATGAAACTTGAAAACAATGCCAGTGAATTGAAAATTGGCTATATTTGAGGCCCTATTTTAAAGCCTTCCTTGTTTTCAATATTCTTAAAACCTGCAGGGAATATTTCTTGACGACTGATCTCGGGATTGTCGAATTTATAAAAAAATTTATCGAGCGGTTTTTGGAAAAATGCGAAATTTTTACGCTGACCAGTATCACTTGACCGTATCGCGGGCTCAGGTGTCGACCCGTCGAGGTCAAGTATTTTTTTGAAGTTATCCGCTGACAAGTTACTAGTTTTCAAGTGATCGCAGGCTCAAAACTCATATGAAATATGTTGTGTTAATGTTCCACACAATTAAAATTTTGATTGCAAACTGACCTCGGACGCGAAAATTCAGCCAGCTGTTACAGGCAGGGAAAACAGTTGCTTTTGACTTTTCTCACCATGGGCACGCGTTGGTCACGCTCTACGTCCAATTTTTATGCTCTGATTGGTCAAAATTTGACAGGTGAGTTCATGCGGAAAATTTATGCAGCATCTTGAATCTTGTTTACCTTGACAGCTGAAGCTGACAGAGTTTTGTGTCAACTTGTGATGTTTTTAACTGTCTTTTTCCACTGGATGTGCAAAATGAAATTCAGCTACCATCAGGAGTCCTCTGTTATTCATGGCTAGTTTGTTTATTGGGTTTTTAGTTGAGGAATACGTCGCTTGTCAAAGTCGGAAATCCGATTTCGGATGGCATCGTTTTCGTTTTCACCTTGCTTGATGCGTAAGAGGATTGCAAAGTCTGAAGCGATACTGGCTTTTCTTGATACCTTTCAGGAACTGCATCTCGAATGGTAAGCCAGAGAAATTATTGTATTTGATGTTTGTTTTTTGGATCTAATTTAATGAAGTCGAGCGGAGTTTATGCGGTCATTTACTTTATGCACGTTTGTAAGATTTGAGACAATGATCTGACCGAGTATCAGGTTTGATATAAGCTTACAGAACTTTAAAAAGCCTTTAGACAGTTTCTCACCGCAAATAGAAAGAAAACGTTCCAAAGAATATTTAGTTATAATTCTGGCCGGAAAAGAAAGCTTTGAGCGATTTTCTTGCCTCGAGATCGTCTTTGAAAAAAGCAAACACCGGGAAGCCGGCTTAAAACATAAACTTAAGCTTGAAGCTTCAAGACTCAGGATTTTTAGGAATACTTTAATACTTGTCTTCCTGAATGAAAATTGTTGTTTCTGTATATGTTTCACCGAATTATATTTCTTTTATTGATTGTTAGTAGTCTCTCTTGTAATTTTAATCGCTGTGCCGATTGTTTTCAGTCGTTCAGTGAACATCGCTTGCAGGAGTACTCAAAATGCCGCGCGTTACTAAACCATTAAATAAAAAATAAACAGAATAAATTCTTTATAATGTTGGAGCGTAACTCTGTTAATGTTCATTCAAACACTCGCCACAGCTCGCACTACAAAAGTGAGAACCGGATGGCCGTATAGGTGATTTTGGAAATTTTTTTAACAGTTTATGAATATTGAATGAGTGCAATTAGTATTGTGAAATACTGCTTTCTGTCCGAGGTCTGCCGGTATGATAAAAACAGTGCCTCATACTACTGTTTCACCTCATATGTGATGTATAAATGGTATAAAAGGTTGGTTTACACGCACCCAGATTTGCTGACAAGATTTTGCAAAGTAAACTTGTCGAACGCAAAAAAGTTGGCCTGCTTTTTTCTCCCACTAATTAATCTACGGTGATCAAGAGCCATTATGGCTCTTAAATGTGATCGAGGATGATTACCAGTTTTTGGGTGTACATATGAGGCTATCAACTCGATGTAAGATTTGGTTCACTCTTGGGCTGTTTGCAAATTATTTTTCTCTAAAATCAGGTAGCCTTTCCCTCAAAAGTCACATAAATGTGCTCTAAAGTTAACTGAATTGTGGAATTCGAATACAAGTTTATTGTTTAATTTAAATTATAAATTTATTAATGGGAGCCTCGCTTTTAGCCCTGGCTAAATCTATATATTATTATTCTTAACACTACATTTCGAAATATTTCGAAAACGCTCTCATAGAATTTGTTCAAACTTTGCCATAATGGAGGCAATTATAGCAGGTACATACTCCCTTACGCGATTTTTTCAAAAAACTCCTGGTACAGAGAAACGCAAAGATAAATGAAAAACGTAATGGCGTCATTACGTTGCCATGGCGACTCCGATTGCGATAAAATCCAGATCATAAGAAATTTTCATCGTTGTATAATACAGTTGTGGTAACCTTTTTCCAATATCTTTACTCATGCCGACGTAGTTAATGCTCAAACTTGGGAGGTATCAACCCCAAAAAATCTAGTCGAGCCACCTTAAGTGGCCTGAGTACGCTTTAGTCAGAAATTTATTTGCGTGTTTTGCCTCGCAAACATCGGGTTTGTTCAATGCTACTCCCTCGGCTCCCGTCAAGTTTGTTGCATGCTTGTGTTTATTTTGCTTTATTCAGTAATTTTTTGCTTTGCGTGTTTTGCCTCATCAACATCGGGCTTGTGCAGTGCTTTTCTCTTCGGCTCCCCTCAAGTTTACACCCCTTTGGTTTTCTTTGTTTTATTCAGTTTGCTTTTTGTTATGCCTACTTTGCCCAGCAAGCTCCGGTTTGTGCAGTGATTTTTTCCCGGCTCACTTCGAAATTGCACGCTTTATTTTTTGCTTTGTATTATTCAGTTTTAAGTTTGTGCTCTGCGTTCTTTCCCTCACTAATTTAATTAATCTTCCTTCGATTCCCGTAAAATTGGTTCACCACTTTTGTTGCATTTGTGCCTTATTTGGTCAATCTGTTCGGCGTGTTTTATTTTACACTGTTTACAGTGGTGTTATTTCCTCGGCCCCTGTAGATTTTGAATAATAATGTTTTCCTTTGCATTGTTCTGTAATTTGGTACGCGTGTTTCGCCACGCGGGCTCCAGTTCTGTGGGTTTACTCCCTTGTCCCACTGTATTTGCTCCCTTGTGTTCCTAGTTTTTTCTTCTATTCTTTTAGTTTATGTCTGCTATTCGTTCCTCGCCATTTCCGCCGTCATGTCATATGTTTTTTTTCCTGCACTTCCATGGTAGCCTGAAAGGGTGTCTAATACCCTAGTCGGATTACTGACGCTCATGCTGCCATCCCTTGGGTGGGTTTTTCTCCCGTCTTCTCTGCGCCTTAGGTTTCCTTTTTACCTTGGACTTTATCTCCAGTTTATTTGCTTGTTGCCACTCAAGGATTGGCAGCCTATTCGTGTTTTATCACGCAGTCCTTTTGGTATTTCCTGAAAGACCTCCTTGCCCAGCTCTCAGCAAGTATCAGCAGTCTATTTGTTTCACTATACGCTGAGTTTAAGCACAAATCTTATGAAAATGATGTGTTTATTGCTTCAGCTATTTCTAACATCTTTCAAAAGTATAATTATTGCAGTTTAGAAATGGAACAGCTCTCTTTAGACATAAGTATTGCTAAAATTTGCCTCTTAAATTACTTTATTTACTGCTGATGGTTATCATACCGTCAAAACATGCACCTACGAAAAAAAAAGGAAAACAGATTTAAAATTATCGAAGATTGTGTATAACGTGTACCTTGAAGGTCATTTTCACCTCTGAATTAAAATCCTTTCGATAATAAATCAGGACAGGGCTTAATACTATAACCGCAAAGAAGAGTACAAAACTCTATCATCGCAAGGAAGGACTTTGACTAAGATATCCAACCGACCACAAGGGCTAGTGACAGAGCCCCTTCCCCCGAAATCAGGGATAACAGAGTGGAGAGTTTTAGATTTCGCGCGGTTTTGCGCGGTTTAAGCTCTTATTTCTCTTTCTTTTTTCCCATGTCTAAGACTGACGTCACAGCGGCCATATTCGTGTTCCAAAACAATAAAAACGGCGGCCATTTTGATTTACCAATGCATCTTTTGATTATTTTTATCATCAAGCTGTTTTCCAAGAGAGTGATAAAATCTCTGTAGCTTCGTAGAAGCCTTTGAGGAAACAATCCTTGAAGAAATTAAAAGCTATGGTGACTAAACGGATTATCTTTTGTTAAAGTGTTTACGGAATTGATTTCCTTTGTTCTCTATGAATTAGTTGCTCTTCATCAAGGAGAAAACCCAGTACAGAAAAAGAACTAGAATTGCTAAATCACAGTGTATCCATCATTTCTTACCTTAGTTATGATTATGGAGTAGCTTAAAACAGTTCCTTACGGAAAGCCAAATCGGCTGTAAACGCACTTGAACGGAAACACGGACAATGACCTCTTTTGACCATATCCATAGGGTACCACCACCTTGTTATGGAAGAACATTTTGTACCCAATGTTCCTGGTCAAACATGGAAGAGAAAAATTCAGAGCTCCATCGTTATCAACAGGAATCCGAGTTGAAAAGAAATAAAAAACAACAACAATTGTATTCCTCTCTCAACTGGACTTATTTTTACTAGAGAAAAACCGCCATTTTGTTACCTGCACATAGTATCGATGAAAGCAACTAAACGTTTAGAAAAATATAAACTTGGATTTCTGAAAGGCGAAAACCTCAGTGTTCTTTTGTACTTGTTTTCAAGGTTTTTGAACTATCATGTCCATCTATCGTATCATGAGTCCGTTCCCTCCTACTTAAAAATACGTCGTTCACGGTATTTATCAAAACCAAACAGGCTTACCAAGCTTTTTCAGATGATACTTTGAACTAAGAGTCATTTCGACAAAACTTTAACTGTAATTTTCAAGTGTCGCTACTCTGTTTAGATTCTAAAATAATAATTTCACGTATAATTACCCATCTAAAATTAAGCTGTAATAAATAGACCCCAGGCTCACCAACAACTCCGTGGAAACCAAGCTTTTATATACGCATCAGGCCTTTAGCCTACCAGAGAAGCATGGAAAGACCAGGCTAACAAGGCACATACTGGTTAACATTTTACAGTCAAAATAAGGCTCGCCCATCCGTACCACAAAAGACTGGTAAAAACAGACTAGGCATAAAAGGGTTAACCTGGCCGAGCAGGCTCCTGACAGGACTTTTGAAGCATTTAAGAGGTCCAAAATATATCTAACAATATAATATTGATTTTGATACCTAAAACATTTAACAGCGCTGAAATGACGCGAGGACTTACTGCTCACTAATTACCAGATCATTTTAATGATACGTATTTCAGAGTTCACTTTTACCTCCGAACTGTTCCGCAGCCTTTCAGTGAAGCCTTTATAATAACACTCTTTTTGGTCACATAACTCACACCACAGCTGGGATCGTTAAGATGAAGAAGACTAACATCAGCTCCCGAGGGCAAACTGTCACGTGCTATGTGAGCCACCATGTAAGAGGGGAAGCATGAAATAGTAAAGGCAAACCTGGGTCCTATGAGTCAGAGTAATAAAAAGGAAAAAGTCACCAATCGGAGACTACAGGCACTATTTATATCTAAAAATATTCTGGAAGAGTAAACTGTTATATTTTTGCTGAAACTGGGTATCTGTGGGATCAAAATTCAAAATGGCAGATCTATGACGTCATGTGACATCAGAACCCTCGGGGTAAGGTAAGGCTGACTTTATTTATACACGGTATTTCCTTCAGGTACATTTTCATTTAAGTATAGAAACTAACTACCAAACTAAACTAGAACCTAAGATAAAAACTAGGAGTAATCGGAGCTTAGGGGAGTGCGTTCGATATGTTTGTAAGGCATACAGGTAGCAGTTGAGGCGGAAGGGTAGTTGCGATATAGATAAATGCGATTATGACATATTTTGAACGTAAGGGTTGCGTACAGCGAAACCTCTATTTAACCTGTGTATCATTATAAGAACGTTTTCAAAAGATATCGTATGGTTCGGTGTCAAGTGCTTGTAATCGGAGGAGACATTGGCCAGAGTGCGTCGGGCGTGTAAATGGCGCGAGTTACAGGGCGCAGTTGATCAAAGGCCGTTTAGTGCTTAACCCGGGATTCTTTTTCTTTTTTCAAAAACATTTCCTCGGATAATTTTCTCTGTTATTTTTAAGAGCATCCAACCATCAACTTGTTGACTAAATGAATTACATTGAATTTACTGTTTTAAAAGCTTTCACATCTGAATTCACACTTCGCACTAACCCTGTCCATGCGTTCAATGGAACGTGTGTGCGGCTCACGTCAATAACTTTTCCAGTAATTTGTTCGAGCGTGTTGATTTCAGTGACTCGAGAGTGGCGCTACTGTGGGCTGGTTTATAAGTTTTTCCTAATAAATAACATAGAGTTAAAGTGTTCGTTTGTCCGGTGCCGAAAATATGACAAGTCATGATCAAATGGCGCCGCCGAGCTTCACATCTCGGTAGATTTACTTTCTGGCACAACGGCCGCCGGGCTACACAACTCGGTAGATTTACTTTGTGACACAACGGCCGGCGAGCAACACAACTCGGTAAATTTACTTTGTGGCACAACGGCCACCGAACTAAACCCGGTTTGATGCATGCACCAGGAGTCGCAGACATTCTCCAAAGACAGTGACGAACCATGCTGAAAAATATGAAGGGTTAATCCAAAGTAAAATTTAACAGCAAACTTCTGAAAGATGAACGCTTTGGACGATTCAGCAAACACAGATCGATGTACGCTTTACGAAGATTCAGCAAACTTTTTAAAAGATGAACGCTTTACGAAGACAGAATATCTGACCTCAGCAAACCTTTGAAAGATGAACGCCGAGGAAACAAGAATCACCACATGAGTTAGCGCTTCAAAGTGAGGCAAAACTTAAGCAAGCGCCTCAAAGCGAGGCAAATGTGTGTGGACGACGACGACGAAAAGGCAATGTCAAAAAACCTTCCTTAGGACACCCAATTATGCACAAAACACCCAACACAAATTAGGGGTTGCGTTCTCGCACCTCGAACGCAATTAAACAAGAAAGATGATAAGAAAAAACCTGCTATACAAGGAAGACGTGTTTAAAAATTGCGTATCGCTAATTTAAGTAATTTCGCAATCGAAATGAAGGTTTTTTAGTGTTGGTTTAAAAACATTAAGGGATGTTAATTGCCGAACCTCCAGAGGCAAGCTGTTCCGCAACACACTTCCGCTATATATTACAAAGGCTCTTTTATAAAACTCAGTGCAGGTTTGTGGAATGGCGAGCATGCATTCATTCTCTCTTAGGTTATAAGTAGTTAAATCGCAGTGACGAATATTAACGTATTACATTCGGTTGACGTAACAGTTGATCGTTAACGTAACATTGTTAGCCTAAGCAACAGATGGTCCTTTACATCGGCGACATTTTTTGCTGCCTTCGCCCCCACTTTTGCTAAAAGTGCCTAAGAGAGATAATATGCCCGGGGAGGGGGGGGGAGGTTAATTTTTGCTTGGTATGTGCTGCTGTCCTCTCAGAGCCCCTACCCCATTATAGTCTATTCTGTGGCCAATTATAGACCCCATCTTAGAATATGTAATTTTCGCGATCCCAACTTAGTCACTTTCTAATTTTACGAACTTACCCATTTTTTAGATTGAATGAAGAACACTTTACTTTTCATCTACAGTACAAACATTCTGGTATGTTTGCTAACCGTAAATATGAAGAACTTTCTTACCCCCAAAAATCCGAAAATGTGCGACCTCATACTAGTAACTGCATTGAAAATGCGACACCATTATAGTCAGTCCAGTCGTGAAATAGACTACGAGCAGTCTCTCTTTTTTTTCTTGGTTTGTCGAGTAAAACGCCCTCGTTTCTCGCGCGTGGACTCCCCTTGCTAAATCTGAAGAAAAAGAGAGACTGCTCGCAGTCTAGTGGTGAAAATGCGGCCCCATCCAACGGCACATCCCCATTAGCCTCTTATAAGGAAGTACCCGGCGTCCCCCGGGATAATATGACATCAGTGCTCTAAAACACTGGGTATTGTTGTCCTTTTCGCTTGATTGATAATTTGTTTAAATTACTTACTCGTTGTTGAAGGCGGAGGAGGATGCATTGCTGAAAAAATACGAGAAAGTAAAACTGAATTGAAAGTTGGTTTCAAAACAATAAACCTATAGTAATAAACNAGTTTCATATTTGTTATATACTTATTAAAGGAAGTCTACAGAAAAATTATGAGCGAAATCCATTTTGTGGGCAAAACTCGATATGAGGATCTTACAGAGACTGGCTCTTAAATTTGGCTTAAGTTCAGAATTTTCGAAATTTTCTAACAAAATACCTGTTAGAATCCTTCTTAATGCTCTCTTTCGTATGTTCAGGTTTTCTAAGACGTCTTTTTGTGCCCTAACATCTTCATTCACGACATTTTAAAACTCCGTCGCCATCTTGACACTGAGACGTACGGAAGGATTAACGCTGAAATTTCGCGCCAAAATTAAGGAGAAATTCGTCACCTATGATATTGAGGTCCTTAACGTGTGCCCAAACCCTTTTAAATCTACCGTAAACTGCAGCATTGTTGTCCTTTTCGCCTGATTGTTAATTTGTGTAAATTACTTACTCGTTGTCGAAGGCGTAGGAGGATGCATTGCTGAAAAAAATACGAGAAAGTAAAACTGAATTAAAATTTGGTTTCAATACAATAAACCTGTTGTAATAAACACAAACGTCAGTGTTATCAGCACAGGATTTTATTTGCAGGGCTTTCGGGCGTGACTACCACTATAAAAGTCCTTAACTCGAGCCCCAATTCTTAAATCCACCGTAAACTTCCGATTTTTAAGCCCCTACCTATAAGCTCCCCCATTTACAAGGCCCAGCTGCTAGCTCTAAGCAAAAAAATACATCCTGTTTTTAGCCCTGTTATAAATTGGCAAATTGGTGTCAAATTTACTCTCTTTGGATAAATAAATTGGCGTTTGTGATAAAAGATAAACATACTTATTGGCTTACAAATAGTTATTTAAGCTTAGATTTTGGCATTTAAAATGATGTTTCCTCTCATAAATTTTTATTTAAGTGCGATGGACAGTCATTCCAGACGTGAAGTGTTAAATATTTCATATGAAATTCCATGATTTCTTTTCTTAAACCCGTCACCAATTTGTCAATTAATTAAGATTTTAAGAAAAATGTTCTCTCGATGATCGAGTTTTATATTTTTGAGGCAAACTTAACAAGTTAAAACAAATGATTATCCTTGCCGTTGGCAGGTGTGGCCGGTTTTTTCTTCTACCAATATAACACTTCAATCTTCGAAAAGAAGGATCATGGATAGTAGAAACAAACGCAGTCAGTATTGTGCGAAATTGACGGTTTTTACACCCGGCTGGTAGAAACTTCTCTGACAGTGAAAGAACCTGAGCAGATAAACTGTAAGAAATGCAGATAAGGAATGAAATCAAGATGATGTAACGTTGAAATTGCCATTATTTTCTGGTGACTGCGGTGAGAATTTTCATTGGGGTTGCTGTCTTGGTTGTCGTCAAGCTCAGTCTCTGAGTTAACTTGCCATGGGGAGGGAAGGAGCCTCCATGTCAATCCCTAGAAGGGGAGGGTGTTGGAAAAGCGTGGTATGATCCGTTAGTCTCTCTGGAGACTCAGTTCATTGATCATCTGTCAGCCGTCAGTTTGTCATCCCAAATTCTTGAAATGTTTCAGGCCGATTCGCCAGTGAAAGGTTTCCCCTCACCCACGTGCTCGGCTGCGAGGCCGTGTCAGGTCTGAGGGGTGACGTGGCCTTGAATGCTCTGCTTAGGGCTAGCTTAAGTCTTAAGCTGCCTCTGTCGAGTAGAGCCGGCTTAAAGCAGCTAGAGATGGCCGGGTTGAGAATATCTTTTTGATGGAGATGAATTCAATCTTTCTTTACTAGCCAGGAACCAAGAGTAGAGTCACCTTAAAAGGCTAATGGGTAAGAGCTGAGTTTCTTTACAATATTTACTTTATGTAAATCAAGTTAAGCTGTGTGGCCTAGAGTTTCCAGCTGGTGCGGCCGGAAGATGTCATTGAATGGTGACAGGAGAGAAGAAATGAGGCGAAACTGGGTCCGGAGGTGGCCTCCTTCTTCGAAAACACAGGATTTCTGGCCAACGTTGTTTGCAAAGAATTCTAGTAATCTTTCAAAATGTGCTATTTTCAAGTGGCAAACGACGTCTTTTCAGGAAATTTGTCATCAAAGAAAGCTGCTTATTTCCCAGAATATCCTAGCCGGATTTTTTAAAACGTTACCGTGAAATGGACCTTTTGCGTCCAACAGTTTTTTCAAAGGAGCAGTTATAGAAACTAAGAGCGTAACCATTTTTTTTTCTCTTCTCCTACTTTCTTCCTCCTCGCTCTTGCTTTTTCTCCTTTCCTTTTCATTCGTTAGTGTGATTTTTGAGCTTACAAGGCCCAAAAAAACTGCCTTTTGAAGCCTTTTCACTCAATGACGGCAAATTTCGTTAGGTTGGTTCTCAAAAAATAGGCTAGATATATCTGTCTGAGTTCCTTAAAACGTGGCCAGTAGGTTTTCGCTTGGTTCCGGGCGCAGCCCGGCTCTGGGTCACTTCGGTCTCCAAAAAGGTAGAGTTCTTGACGTCTTTGACGGCACGGGTGGACCCAGGGACTGCCTTAAAGGTGGATGGGTGGCTCAGGATTGAGGGCAAAACTAGAGGGGTAGTGAGGGGGCTATTTTAACACATTCCCTTGTAAAGAGCAGTGTTTACTAGGGGATTTGACTGGCATCTTATGTTTACTTTGCCCGAGCCAGCTGAATCAGGCGTCTGCTGCGTCACCAGGGGAGAGGCGCAGGCAGTAACCCAATGTCCCTGGTGGGCAGGGTGAAATTCTTGGTACTTAGCAGAGGACCTGTAGACACTCACTGAAGCCATGTTCACATAAATTGTAACGTTGAAATTACAGGTAAAATCTTTATCATCATTACCGTAATCGTCATCGTCATCGTATTATTATTATTTTAGTGTACCAACTCTGAGGAGTTCATACTGTCTAAAATAGACCAATCTTATGCAGGAAAGTGAAACGAAATATCCAAGTTCTTTTGCCAAAGAGGAAGGTAAACCTGTTCGTTTTTTTTCTTGAACAAAATACACGTATCACTTTTTTTCCTTTCATATCACTTTGAAATATATACTATTAGTTTGCAAAGATGTCAAATTAAAAGATATAACTTGAAGTTTAATCTATCCAAAACATTTAAAATGGACTTTTCCTTTAAGCTAGAATCGCCAACTTCAGGTTTTAAACGGTTAACTGATTTTCAGTTTTGCACTTTGCACTGTCACTTGACATTTTCTTCAGTTAATTTGGAGTTTGCTTCCTCGGCCAATTCGTTGACATACTGACCGAGGTGGGCGAATTTTATGAAGGTATAATAAAAAAATAATAAATGATATTTTGATAACTCACTGTGAACTGGATATTAAATTACACTTGATAGACTGGTATTTCCGTGCAATTTGAGGTGGAATTTATATTATGAGCCAGGTTGTAAGTTCCCCTTAAGTATCCCTATCACGTTTGTTTGTTTGTCAGCTTTGTTAAAAATAAACTAATGGTAACTACTGGATTGACTTGGGGCTTGACATACTTGTATTAAGGAGCTGTGTATCAACTCTGATATTCCGCCCCAATATGCCATCTTTGATAGCGTCTTCCAAAGGCTTTAAGGGGTCGCTGATGTTTCTTTCAAATCGTAGGCGAACAATAGCAATGGTACTTCCTTCTCTGAAAATAAAATATATCTTAGGGCCCATTTACATGGGGTTGGGTGACCCCAGGTGGGTGAGGTAGCCAGCTCAGGTGGGGAAAAAAATAAAATTGCCATCCCTTGGTGCCTCTCTGAAGATTATTGAATGCTATCAGAGCACTTAAAAAAAAAACAAAAATGGTATGCAAACACCGTGTTTTCGCGGTAAATTCTCTTCTATTAGACAGCCTCTCCACACCTTTCATGTAAACATGATGAGACATTATTATCGCGAAGTGTCGGATATTTTCTTAACCTACTTTATATCATGAACTTGCCCAGAAGCTGGCAAATGAAGACGAGAACGTAGCATCGATCGCGGTTTAAGCTAGCCTGATTCTCAGACGTCCGTGGTCGTTCGCGGTCGAGAGGGAGAGGAGCGAAAGGGACTGAGAACGACCTCGGACGTCTGAGAATCAGGCTAGGTTTAAGCATGTTTAACTTGTTTTTAAAACAAAATTTTTTTGGAATGAATGGTAAAACTGCTATTGGCATAGATAAGGCTTTCGTATGATCTGCGAAATTGTGCAGATCTCCCCTTTATCTCATCATTATCATACTAATGTCCATCCAGTAATTGCTAAATAAACTTCCATTTTTAACAAGGTTATGACCCGACTGTGATTAGTATATCACGGATGTAAATTAACAAATTAAAGATGAGTTTCAATTCTTTTCCAATGCCCTCCAGCTATCGTTTATTCGGATACAGTTTTCTTCTGTTTTTTTCTTTCTTTTCTTTTAACAATTACACGATTGCATGTCAACGATAAACTGCTACATATGTCATATATACCTGAATTCCACAATAGTTATACCATATAGTTGCTTTTCGCTATTTTGAG